AGTGCGACATTTGTAAAATAAAATACAAAGCAATTATATATATATACGTTTATATATTTGTTGTCCTAAGTCAGCAATGTTTATTGCAGCATCTACTTTATAATTTTTAATCTCGGTTACTCATATGTCCTTCATTGTGTGATTTTCCTACTGTCTATGTGTTTTTCGAATGTGACTGATGGATGTTATCTCTTGTTTGTAGAGAATAAGCCTATATATATATATTGTTCTTTATAAAATTACATTTAAATAGTTACAACTTGAGAAAAGTTTATGCAGAAGTTTACAACATTAATATATAACCCAAATTTGCATTAATATGCGTATAACATCAATATAATCCGAATACATCCATTTTAAGACTAATATAACTCCAACTCCTAACCAATACTACTATCAAACTTTATGCAAAACTCTACCCAATAATAAAATAACTTTTAAAACGTGATCTTAATATAAATAATACAAATACAAAGAACAACTTTAGAAAATTTCACATAATCCCTTTTATTGCCGCACGAAAGGAAAACAAAAACGAAGTTCTGTAACCAAGTTTAATTTTCTACTAAGAAGTTCAAAATGAAACTGGTTTCAATTAAGATTCGAGAAGTGATATTATGGAATATATGTCTTAGATTTCATTAAGAATGGAGGCTCATTAGTTCGAATTGAAATGAGGTAATGCTGTGCTGATTCCGGATTTGATCGAAGTCAATACGCCTCAAAGTGATCAGACTAATTATTCGTCAGAGAGATCGTGCTGGAATTATTACTCCGCTTGTAGATTACACATAGAATATTAAAGCGATAAATATATCGAAGATACTATTGCTATTCTAAAGGGGGATTGGTATACTGTTGAACGAGGGTTCATTTGAATTTTCGTAGCGATAGTATTCGTTTTTGCTGCTCCGCACATACACGAAATTTTTAATATGTTTAATTCATTTTTTGAGGAGAGAAAAGGCTTTGAGTTAATTTTAGTAAATTCTTGATTATACAACGTGTCCGAAAAAGATTATCTGAACGCGGTCACCTGGTGCTTTTGCCAATTACATAGGCAACCTGTCACCATTAGTTGTGTATGTTAACGTTTAATTGAGTTCTTGTCCAGTAGACAAATTGTCACCTAAAGTTGCGTTTAACTGTGATAACAGACATCGTTTTTGCGTATTCCACAGCACAAAATGCCTTCTGTGGTTTGGTGGATACAACGTTGACAATTTTCTGCACACAGGAAAGAAGGATATTTTAAGACTTGGAGCATCTAGTACACACACAGGGATGGCGAACCATTGGCACTCGTGCTATTGATGGCACGTGGCATAATATTTTGAGCGCACCACCGATCAAAACGATTTGCATTTTAGTTTAGAAACTCTATTATTACAAGGAGCCCCAAACATGAAAAACTAGTTCAAAGAGTAAGATGTACAAGAGAAACCAGACAAAGAAATAGTTTTTGAATAATTTATTTCCCTAACTGACTATTCAATCAAGAAATTTCCAGCAAAATTTTCTCAGTTCAAAGAATTATCATAAACGCTTACATTTATTATGTACCCTGATGAGACATCATTTGAAAAACTAAACTTACCCCAATTTAATTGGTTGTACATTGAAGAATTTGAAATGCAACTTGGTGATTTCTATTCAAAAGCGTATTGAAACAAGGAAAAAGTTGGAATTGATTCAAACAGAAAGATTAACAAGCAATATAAGTAAAAATGCCAATACCGAAATTTTGGAAACATTTAACTCGATTCTAGATACATTTAACTGTTTGAAGAAGCAGGCTCATGCTATTTCAACCATATTTTCATCGACCTATGCCTACGAGTCATTATTTTCAGAGATACATAGCATTTAAGACTCGCTTAGAAACCAGTTGGAAGATGACTCCAATTCAGCATGCATTCTGCTAAAAGCACAACATCTTACAATCCTAATATAGGTTATTTGTCATGTATAATCTGCAACAACAGAAATCACACACACTAATGTTACTTAAATTTAATTACATGTATAACTGAAACAATTACTAATATACAGTACAAAATGTATATCTTCGTAGTAAATAAAAAGTTTTGAGTTGTTAGTATTTTGCTTTATTATTTTCCCAATAATCACAAATCAAAGTTATTTGACGGCATGTCTGTACCTTATTAAGCATTTCTTTAGAAAAAATGGCACGTTGATCCATAAAGGTTCGCCACCCCTGATCTAGTAGCTTTCAGGCCAATTTTCACCACTCTCACTGGGTACCTAGAAAAAAAATAAAGAAAAAGGGTACAGGTTTTTTTTGGACACGGTGTATATCCAGAACAAAAGAGAAATAGTGGATGACGAAAATTTTGGTTTTATGTGCGATATTCAAAGAGAGTGTGCAGAACAGGGATTCAAACCGTATTTTTTTTTTCGTTCGGTTCAACTGAAAAAAAAATATCGGTTCAGTTCCGAATGAATAATTTTATTTTATGTATATTTTAATTTGCACTAAAAATGTAATTCTATAGCAAATAAAAAATGTAATTCTATCAAAATTTAGAAGATTTTATTCATCTTTGTTGAGATCCGTTAAAAACTGGTTTTGTAGAAATTGACTC